GTGAGAGATATTCACAACTTAACCTGTTTTGGGTGTGACAAGGACCTAAGCAAATGCACAATTATTATTGATAACTAAGCAAGGGGGAATGACAATTGGAAAAGGGGATTGATAAGTCATGTAAGGGGAATGACCTTTAAATGAGGGATATTCACAACTTAGCCTGTTTTAGGTATGATAAGGACCTGAGCAAATGTACAAGTATAATTGACAACTGGGCAAGGAAGAATAACAACTGTGAAAGGAGGATTGACAAATCATATAGGGGGAATGACAACTTCCTATTCATTCATTGTCAATAAGGCTTAGATCAAAATTTACAACTTTAACATATAACGCAGCTGTAGAAGTATCATCCATGCATTTACATAATATTCACAACCTATTCCAAAAATAACTACATGGGTTGTATAGATATACTACACCTTTAGATGCATTCACAAAAAAATGCCATATGCATTTACAAAAAAAAATACCATATGTAAGTGCAAAAAAATATTAGCTACATAATCAAAAAAATTGCATCTTCCTAGCATTAATCAGCATAGATTAGGGTTCTTGCAGGTCCTGAAAGTATGACCAGCTTTATGACATCTTCCATAATGATAAAGCTTTTTCTTTTGAAATTGAGATTCACATCTTTTCGTCTTAGGCCTTCTTGGAGGCCTTCTAGTCTTCAGTGACTCTAAAAATGTTTGGGTTAACATTTTTGTCACTATCAATGCACCTAAATGTGGAATATCATGTGTGAACACAAGCCTTATACTGAGAGCATAAATTTTCTATTGTGATATCAATTATAGCATTCATCCACAAATGTGTACATATTTTCATAAGCCAGCTTTATTGCTATACATGCATATGCACAAAGTATTCCACTCATTTGCCATGCCAAACAAGTGCATTCATATTTTGCAATATCTACATTTAAATGAATTATTCCATTAGGAGAAGATGTTTGTACCAAGATTCAATTTTTTTCATAAAATTTTGCATACAAATTTTCAGCCCTCACAACTTGCTCCATCAATTTTGCCTCTATATTAGATCTTACCCCATCTTTCTAATGAATCATAGCCATTTTGGATGCTAGCATCTTGTTTTTCCAATTTCTCTTGATGCTTATGTATTAAAATATCAACATTGTACTTTCTCTCCTTTACCATCCAAGCATTAAATGATTCAGCAAGATTTGTTGTAATATTATCCCATCATTTATAAGGAAACTTACATTATGTCCATCGATCTACATCCCTTTGAGCTTCAACCCATTATGTCAATTGTAGACTGAACAATCTAAAATTCTCCATGGTAATATTAAATTCTTCCTCATGCCTAGCATAAGCAACAGTATCAAGCAATTTGAGTGCAACCTCTTTGTTATTCCCTAACATCCTCCTCTAACTTGTGTTGATTTTTACATATTCAACACTCCTTCACATGACAGTAGTAGCAATATGCATGTCTCTCGCCACTAAAAATAGCTTGTATAGCCCCAATAATAGCATTATACCTATCAAAACTAATGTTATCTCAACTAATCTTAAGATGTCTTTGACATTTTCAAGAAACCAAGACTAATCTCCAAATCTTTTTGTACTCACAATAGTATATGCTAGCGAAAATAGGTCATTGTCCTCGTCACAAGCAGAAACTACCAACAATGTTCTCTTGTATGAACCGCTTATAAAGCATCCATATATATGAAGTATGTGTCGACAAACTTCTAGAAAACTCAAAATACAGCATCCATATGTAATGAATAACCTTTCAAATCTATTGCTATTGGAAGCATCCCATTTCGCAACTGTTGTTGGATCAATTTGCCTTAATCTATCATAAATACAAGGAATTATCATATAAGTATCTTATGAAAGACCATGTATATCTCATAATGCTTTTCCTCATCCCTTATATACTTGATTGTAAGTCAATCACACACCATACTCTCTATACAAGTCTCTTCTAATTTCATTTGTGCTCTTGTCTATAATAGATCTCAAAGCATCAGCAATGATCAATGAAGTTAAATCTAACTTTGCTTGATGTGAAATAATAAGCTTGTCTTATGCATTATGGATATGCCAGCTATTGAATCTTATCACCCTCAAAAACTCAGTATGCTTTCCTATTGAATATGCTGTAATATTCCATAGACATTTCTCAACCTTGCACTTAGCAATAACCTTTTTTATATTATTCTTCTTAAACTTGCATGAAAACTTATGCCCAATACTATACTTGTACAAAGTTTGTCTAAAGGCCATTACATCAACAAACATTTGGCCCTTATCTATAAATAAGTCCTTCCATTTCACTGAATTTATTTCAAGTATTGGTGTAGGCGCCATTTGTACAGTACATTCTAATGGCGAGTCTTTAATCTCAAGATACAAACTAGGTGGAGATAAAGAACCTCCCTCTGAACCTTCCAGTAAATTATCAATCTTATAGAAAATTACAATCTGAACGCATTAGTAATACTACATTTTAATATTATCTATGTTAACAAAAATAATTAACACAACTTACACATGTTGGTACTCAGTTGGATCATCCGTTGATACTTGTGTAGTGTTATTTTCATTTGCAATTATATATATATGCCCACTTTCTTCATTATACTTAATTAAATGTTCTACTCCATCCTCATCAAGAAGATCTATAAGTGTTCTTCTATCAATGCTAAGTGTGAACTTCATCTCACTTTAAATGTTTTCACACCCCCTTATTGTTGATAACTTCATACTTTTTGTTCTTACACTCTCACCCACATATTGCATACTACCTTGGCCATCATATGTAATTTTTCCTCCTATATAGAAAAAAACATAATAGATGTTTCTCAGAAGTACTAGCCATCTTTCATGTCAACCTGTACCATACACAACATATTGACAACTATCCATAGTATATTGACAACTTAAACTTCAGCCATTAATAATACGCACAAGATATTATCAACCTATCTGCACACAACATATTGACAACAACCTATGGTATATTAACAACTTAAGCTTCATCTATTAATAGCGTATACAAGGTATTCTCAACCTACACGACACATAATATATTGGCAACTACCCACAGCATATTGACAACTTACACTTCAGCTATTAATAACATATCTTACTATCTCATGATAGGCTCATCAGCTTAACCAAGTAACGTTAAATTCTTGAATACACTATTACCAATGCAACCCCAATAACCACTCATGATAGATATATTGACCGAGAGAGAGAGAGAGAGAGAGAGAGATCACGCATGACTCATATACCTATAAGGAGAGAAAGAGACAACCTTATTTTGCTAACAAACCATAAAACATTAGATTAAATGATTAATGGGGAGTATATAAAAACTAATCTCATCATTTATCTAGTTCCATGAGGTCACACTATCAAATTCTTTGAGCTCGAAGTTGGGTGCAAGAATGTTCAAATGTGGGCCCTCTTCCTTTACAAACTGCTACATACCTCAAACTAAAGATGATCACAAGAATGGGTTCATCTTCTAACTATAAGATAATCCTTCCATGCGCCATTCTGAGGATGATTGCAAGATGCACCTCAGCTGGTCTTTTCTCTATCACATGCGAAAACCAATCTTCTTTCCTCTTTCCTTCTTTTCCTCCCTTTTAATCAGCCAAGGACAAATGTTTACCCCTAAGGACCATGAGACTTCATAATAATTTGCCTTATTCATGAGACTTGAGAGTATTTAAGTTTAATCTATAGGATCTCATTATAATTTTCCCAATCTTTATTCCCATAAAAATTTATCTTGTTTTCTTTTTGCACTCTTAATTACAGTTTATGATGTGTGAGAAGAAAGTTATAAATTCATACAAAAATCTAGGTTAATAAATGTATTGTTTTTTCTTTTTTGCCGGAAACATGAAATATCATTGAAAAAGTAAGCTTTACAAAGCCAAACAAGGCACATTGAGCAAAATATAATTAAGAGAAACAACTCCAAAAAAAACCCTTAAATCCAATACAAAACAATATAAAAAAATAAAAAAATAACATTATCAAAATCATCCTAAGCCTTAAAATAAAATTAAAAAGTAAGAAATTTCACTATGAAAACTCCAATAGTCTAGAAGTCACATCAAAGAGCAGGAACGAGGGCTCATGGAACTATCTAATAATTTTCATCTCCATATAAACAATAATTGCTATCCAAATAACATATTTATCACCTCCACGCATCATGTTGCACGTAGAGAGAATCAAAACTATTTGCAATGACAAGTAACTAGCTTCTAGCATCACAAAAAAGCACCCTATCTTATCATAGACCACTAACTATCAAACTAAAAGGCTCAAGTCAAGACCTCCAATGATAAACCAAAATCATCAGTAGGATAATAAATACATGGGGGTAGAATTGAAATTTTTTAAAATATTGAATTACTTCTATTTTAAACTAAAATTAGTTAGGAGAAAATATTTTTATTTTAGATAAAGGAGTAATTGTCATTCTCCCTTCTTCTAGTCCTATGTATAGGACAAAGAGAGGAAATTATTTTATCATTTTTATAAGTCATTTCATTAAATTTTTATCATAATTTTTTTCATTTAACTTCTATTAAATGTTGGAGAGAAATAATGTTATTAATATATATATATATTTAATAGTTGTAAAGTTAAAAAATTATTAAATATTTAGATAAAGTTAATAAATTTAAAAATTATTATTGATTTTAGTAAAATACATAAGAGTATAAGAGGAGTAATTCCTCCATGCATTAATTAACATAAAACATTGTCTCTAAATTCATTTTCACACACAAACGCGGAAAAGCCCAGAAAACCTGCCCAGCTCAGCCCCTAGTATATGTAGTCATCAATAATTAATAATACCCCCACTGATTCTAAATCTAACGCAAATATCTGTAATTAATATTATTAAATATTCAATATTTAAATTATTACGCAGTTGAATGTTCACAAACTTCCCGTGTTTGACTAATCAAAATCCGACAACCTTATCTCTTTCCGCCATCGACGACGACGTCCTAGTCCCCTTCTACTTTCTAAACCTTCTCCTCATCACTGTTCTATGCCATTCTTGCTTTTGATCCTGTTCTCATGAGAAATCCCTCTGCTGCTGCTGCTTCTCCTCCTCCTCCTCCTTCTTCAGCCTCACAATGATCAAACTCAAGTACCATCCACTATGTTTCTTCCCTCATGTCCTTCTTCTTCTGTTCTTCTCCTTCTCCGATTCATCTCTCGCCGTCGATTTTGTCTTCAACGGCTTCAACTTCTCCGATGTCTTGCTCTACGGCAACGCCACCGTTGATTCTGGAATCCTATCTCTCACTCATGACCAAGCTTTCTCTATCGGTCGTGCTCTTTACCCTCAGAAGATTCCCACCAAGATCCCAAATTCTTCATTCGTGTACCGTTTTTCTGCTTCGTTCATTTTCGCCATGGCTCCTTATAAGAATATCCTTCCTGGCCATGGCTTTGTGTTCATCTTCACGCCTGTTCGTGGAATCCAAGGTGCAAACTCTGCTCAGCACTTGGGTTTCTTAAACTTCACCAACAATGGCGATTCCGGTAACCACGTGTTCGGTGTTGAGTTCGATGTGTTCATGAATCAAGAGTTCGATGACATAAACGCCAATCACGTTGGGATCGACGTGAACTCTCTCAAATCTATCGCGGCACACGACGCCGGGTACTGGCCGGAGGACGACAACGACAAGTCGTTCCAAGAATTGAAGCTGAACGACGGTGAGAATTACCAGGTTTGGATTGACTATGAAGATTCTTTGTTTAGCATAACTATGGCACCAGTTGGCACAAAACGACCACGTAGGCCACTGTTGAATGTGTCGTTGAACTTATCTGAGGTTTTTGAAGATGAAATGTATGTCGGGTTTACAAGTTCCACAGGGCAATTAGTTCAAAGTCACAAGATTTTGGCTTGGAGCTTCAGTAATTCAAATTTTTCACTCAGCGAGGCGTTAATTACTTCTGGATTACCCTCTTTTGTTCTTCCAAAAGATTCAATCATACAATCTAAAGGGTTTATTGCAGGATTGACCATCGGGATTTTCTTCCTACTCTGTTTCGTCGTTCTGTTGACTCTGTTTTTAATACAGAGAAAACGAAGGAAAGCTCGGGAAAGAGAAGCAATGGAGGACTGGGAATTAGAGTACTGGCCACACAGAATAACGTACGAAGAAATCGAATCAGCAACAAAAGGATTCTCGGAGGAAAACGTGATCGGAATCGGAGGAAACGGCAAAGTATACAAAGGAAACCTAGGAGGAACAGAAATCGCAGTGAAACGAATCTCCCATGAGAATAACGGAATGAGAGAATTCCTAGCAGAAATCTCCAGTCTGGGAAGACTCAAACACAGAAACCTCGTAAAATTACGAGGATGGTGCAAGAAAGACGCAGGTAATTTCTTACTAATCTACGAATACATGGAAAATGGGAGTCTAGAAAAGAGAGTATTTGAAAACGAAGAAGACGACAAGATCCTTAACGGTGAAGAGAGGATAAGGATTCTGAAGGATGTAGCTTGTGGGGTCGTGTACTTGCATGAAGGGTCGGAAGCAAAAGTAGTGCACAGAGATATTAAAGCGAGCAACGTACTGTTAGATAAGGAGCTTAATGGAAGGTTAGGAGACTTTGGGTTAGCGTTAATGCAGAACAATAAGGGTGAAGTGGCGAGTACCACGAAAGTAGTTGGGACGGTGGGCTACATGGCGCCTGAAATGATGAAGACTGGAAGAGCATCGATTCAGAGCGATGTTTACATGGTTGGAATATTGGTTTTGGAGGTCATGTGTGGAAGGAGACCTATTGAGGAAGGTAACATTGAATCTCTCTCTCTCTCTCTCTCTCTCTCTCTGGTTTTGTTTTGTTTCGTACTTTTGTTTTTTACAATACTGGGTTGAATAGCAATTTTATTCTTTAAAAATAGGCTTAGCTAAGAGCATTTGCTGTATGCCATGTTTTTTATTTTTTAAATTTTTAAAAATAATGTAATGTCAACCCTACTCTATTATTAATAAATATTAACTTTAACAATTAATTGAGTAAAAAATTATAAAAAATAATTAAAAAATATAAAAATTATAAAAAAATTATAAATGTTATATATAGTATTTATCTGTAATTTTCTCAGACGCTTTTTTATACAATTTTTAAGATTATTTTTTATAATTTTCTAATCAATCAATGATTAAATTTAATTTGTGTTTTCGATAGAAGAACATTACACTATAAACGAGTATAAGATCCCAACTCTTCTTAGCTAGTTGAAGAGAAAAATGGGCCTTTAACCCAAAAATATGTATTGAGTGCATGATAATACTAGTGTTGAATTTGGACGAAAGACATTGACATGGGTTTCTATCTTTTTTTTTAAAAAAAATATACACAAATTTATTGATCATAGAAAAAAAGATTTATGTCATTATATTCTAGAAAAAAAACTTTAGGGAGATTTATGCAATTTACTTTCATTTTTAAGGAGACGTACTAGTATAAACTGTGTGTTGAAGATAGATAATTTCGTAGACTTATTCCAAGAAGTTTCATTAATATTATGTTGACTTTAATTTTCTTCTATTTTCAAAATCATGAAATTATTTTGTTCGGTTTTGTTGAAATTATATACACCATATTTCTATTTTCAACATTTATACAGATTCTCCTTGGAATAAAGAGATACTTGCATTAGCATGTCTAAACTTTTGGAATTATATTACTTGCATTATATATTTTTAGTATAAGCACCAACAAGCTTTGAAAACAAAAACAGAGAACTATATGTAATTAAAAAATGAAATTACAATGTAGGTCACTATACTTTAACTGTGTTTTATTTTTAGTCTTTATAATTTTATTTCATCACTCTTAATTTTTTTAATTTGATCTATCTACAACAGTAATATGTATAGTCTTAAAAATGCACCTATATATAGACCGTGTGCTAATACTAACAAAGTTAATTTTGTTGTAACTTTGCAAGCCTTTTTGCTAGCATGGAAAAAAATATGCTGGCATGAAAATAAAGTAACTAATAAGCATGATTATAAATAAAAGGTAAGGGCCGGGAGGAAAAAAATTTATTGTATATTTGGATTAAATAGAATGTAGGAGACAAAGAAAAGATTAAGTACTATGCCAACAAAAGAGTTAACATATATAGTACACCTTAGCAAAATTAATTTCATTGGTGTTAGGTCATGGTCCTTGTATGCCTTTTTGAAACTATAACGACTAACATTGCAATTGAATCAAACTAAATGAACTAGTAACAACAAAATAAAACTATAGATACTAAAACCAAAACACAATCAAGATACATGGATTTGCTGTTGTATTTTCCCAAAAACAAAACAAAAGTGATGTGTATAATTTATTAATCTCCAAACTCATGGTATATATACTTATTTATTTGCTTCAGGAAAGCCATCTTTGGTGGAGTGGGTGTGGCAACTCAAAGCACAAGGGCAATTAATAAGTGCAATGGATGAGAGATTGAGGGCAAAAGGAGAAGTGAATGAACAACAAATAGAAACTATACTTAACTTGGGATTATTGTGTGCTTATCCTGACCCAAAAGCCAGGCCAACAATGAGACAAGTTTTGAAAGTTTTAGAGGGAAAGAGCAACAATAATAATAGCAATAACAATGAAGATGGAGATCAGTATGATGAGAGTGAAGATTTGGATACTTACCTACTTAAACACATAAGATCACCAAGGGACATTTGGTCTGAGTATTCAAATTACTTTAACTTCTCATCTCACCCAACATTTGAAGATGTTAGACTACACGCTACTTCTCACTCATCTTCAACCTCTCGCCATTATTCTTTCTCTCATTCTATTGTTGATGGAAGGTAAGTTGAGAATAGATTTTCTGCAGTTAAAATTATATGTTGAATTGAATGTAAAGTACCATTAAGTTGAACCACCAACTTTACATATTTTCGACTTTTTAGAGGATTGGAACTTGGTGATTGAAGCTTTTCTTGTGGATTAAAAATATAAAAATTGGATAGGATATGAATCCTCATAAGTAATTAGAGGATGTGAATAGGGATGATGAGGAGGTCTTATATTAATTAATAGGTGAGTCTAACCTTTGTTACTTTCTTTTTTTATGATAAATAAATAACAATACCGGGCTCGTCAAATTTGGTAATTAAAATGATGAGTCTAACCTCTATTTTTATCCCTATTTAATTAGCTTTGGCCATCCTAGCTCATTGATGTACCATGTTAGATTCATTCTCAAAATCGTGTTTGATTATTAATTTTGTACAAAGTTTTGTGCATTTTGAATTTATTTTTGTAGTTTCCATTGTACAGATAAAAGAAAAAAGAAAAAGATTTGAAACTAATAAGCATGCATATATACTTGTGATTTCAATTTTTTTTTTTTTGGTTTTGACATCTTTGTTGTTGAGATTTTCCTCTTTTTTATTAAGAAGTTTAAGGTTTAGTGGTTTTTCTCAAGATGTCCTTATTAATTGTTTGGCAAGGTGACTTTATTTAATGATGTTAATTTAATGAGTGTAAAAGAATAATTTTTTTAATAAATATAAGAGACAATGGGTAGTTGTTCATTATATTTAGATTAGCTCTTAATTGTTTCTTATAATTGAAGTGGCAAAAAGAATATTATCTTTAGACAAATTCATTTTTCTAATACTAGGAATAATAGGTTGTATAAGTCTAAAGAGTGAGTGGTAACTTCATAAATTATCATAGATATATAATGTAATAATGAAATCTTGTTATCATAAAAAAATCATAGATTTTTTTTATTGCTTATAGGTATCCTCTTATTAGAGACAATTATATTCAAGGCACGATTAAGTACTAAATGTAGGAACCTCTCCTGACAAAGACTCAATCATAGATATTATTTATTCTTACAAATTTTGGAGGAGATATTGTTTACTATAAATTCACTATCAATTATTTCATATATTTTTTTATTTAAAGTGGCTTTTTTGTAATGATGCAATTAGAGTGGTCCTTGCAGTTATATTGCATCTAATTAAAGTAAATCACACCCTATTCAGAACTTTTAAATATTGTGATCTTATACCATTTTAATAAATATATTGATGACAATTTGTAGATTATATGATGAGGTTGGACTTGTACACATGGATGTAGGCCAAACTTGGTGCTGTTTTAATTGATTTAATAATTGAAGAAAGCATAATGGAAGAATCAAACTATTAAATCACCAAACCATCATAGCCAAACTTTTCTATGTAACGTAAGAAAGCAAAATGAGTTAATTGAGTTGATGACGTGAGTGATATTATGATTGCTGTTAGGTGGAGATTTTGGCAAGGTACCTAATTAATTAACATATACAGAGAGTGGACCAAAACACACACAGAGAGACCTTTGAACATAGCTGTCTTTTGGAAAAACATAATTATTGCTTCCATTAATTTTAACCTTTGGTATAGGTTCTTGTAATTTTTTTTTTTTTTGGTTCCAGATCCCTCTAATTTCTCTTATAAATCATGAATATATCCAAAAGAATGATGAGCTGAAACTAATGATGTTAAATATGTTGATTTGTAGTTAATTCCATTAATTTGTGTTGGGATGGAATTATAATTCAATATATTAAAATATGAAACATGAAATAGAAGGAGATGAACAACGCTGTTAATTTGCTGAGTTATAGATAGATTAATAATGTTAATCATATGTCAGCGTATTAAACACTCTTATTATCATCTCATCATCTTTTTGAGTATATATTAAAAGAAAAATACTAGGACTAACGTCACATATGAGATAAACTAGAAGAAATTGGAGCAACAAAAATAACTATAGGAACTTATACCAAACACATTAAAATTATATGTTCAAATAATTATGTTTTTTCTTTTCTTTTTTCCCTTTTCTCCAGGAATAATTTTTTTCTTTTTCAAAAACAATAAAACAAACAAATAATCTCTCTCTTGGTATCTCGAGATGTTGGTTTTTATTGTCATCCCTTGATGGACTGGAAGATGCAAAAGTCCATGAGCCAATCAAATAGTTAGTAGAGTTAATAAACTTAATTAATTGGGCCATCCTCATTTTATTGAATTTATTTAATTTAAAAAGTGGACTGTTGGTTACTAGAGGGGGAAAAAAGAGGAAACAACTTTTTTGTATTATACACAAATATTTTTCTATTGAAATAATCTTATTTAAAATACATTCAAATATTATATGTAAATATCTCTTTAATAGATATTTAAATTTAGATTTGCCATCTTATATTATAAAATAATAATTTTTTTATTAGACCTAACTTTAAAAAGAAAAAATTTTATCCGGCAGTTTTTTATATTAAAATTGAAGTAGTACGGTCTGACTCAATTGGTTGTGGCTTGTGATTTGCTGGAAAGAACATGTATGCATCACAAACCCATATCTTACAAATATGTAATTTACAAAAAAAAAAAAAGTTACATCATTAACAAAATATAAATCATGGAATCCATTTTAAGACTCTGCAAAATTCATATGAAACCCACATCGTTTAGAAGAATTTGGAATTATGTTTGAGTTAAATAAGAGAAATTGTAACTTTGAGTTTCTATACTTTTATTTTTCAGTGTTTGAGGTCCTTTCAAGGTGTCTACACTTTGTTCATTTAAGAACCTAAAACACTAAAAAATAAAAATGTGGAGATCTAGAATGCTAAAAAAAGTACAAAAACCTATACAAAACAAGAGCAAAGTATAGAGACCTTAAATTATGTTTTCTCATTAAATAATTATATGGATTAAAGTAAAAATTTGTTCCAGAAATATTTAGCAAAGTGTAATTAGTATCTTAAAATATTTAATGATGCAATGTGATTTCAATGTAGGGTTGTGCAAAAGTTTTTTGATCTAATCCAATTCAATTTGAGACAAACCTGATCCTGTCCCATTCGAATAAAAATTGATCTTTCAAGACCAAAAAGATCAAATTCTTTCTTCGAATTGAACTGGACAAGAGATAAAGCATCTAACCACTTGGTTTAATCCTATAAATTTATTTAATATAATTATAATTAATTTATTAATTATTATTACAATAATTTGTAATAATAATTAGTATTATTTTTGTGTTTTATACTTGTAAAGTGATGAATATTGAGCAAAATTCTAGTATTGATCAACCTCAATCTTCTCTTTTTATTGGTGAAATGTGTTGTTAACTTGGTGTAATAGAATTTAGATATATTAAAAACTGTTCAATGTTGTTGAAAGTTATTTAATTTGAATCTTATGTGTTGTAACTGTTGTTGTTAGAAATTGTAGTGGATTTATAATTATTGTTATTGTGATAAATTTTATATGAATATAAGTAATTTTATTATGTTAATTAAGTTTATTATGTTGAAATAAATTATTATCTCTCATAGATAAAAAATAAAAAAAATAAAATGAGATACTGGATAAGACAAAGATCAGTTTCCTAATCCTGCTAGACCAGTTTGGTATAGTTTAATTTCAGGTTATATTAGGATCAGAATAGATACGTGTTGCTTAATTCAATTCTTTTCGTTAAAAAAAAATTAGATTTTAAGTTAAGTCAAAATTTTGTCGAATCAGTCCTTTTGTGCAGCCTTGTTCCAATGTTTTTAAAATTCATTCATGTTAAATTTGTCAAACGGCTCTCACAAAATGATGCCATGTAAGCTAGAGAATTTTTTGGCGCCGTCGCCACATGTTCATCGAACTTTTTTTTTAATTTTTGACCAACACATGTTCAGTCTAGCTTAGAACATTAGGCCCGTTGAAAAGAAAAACTGAAGCAGATATCTGAAGGTCCAAAGCAAGATTTGGTTCACTTTGTAATTTCATTTCTTGATCTCTATTTTTTTTTTTTGGATAATCCCTCAAACTTAAATATTAGATTTTGAAAAAAGAAGAGACTTGATTAAAACAGGGAAGTCTCATCGTGTTGTCCTTTTTTCTCTGCAAGTCCTAAAGAAGAAGGAAGCAAGAGATGAAAGGTGGCTTGATTGGTTTAAGAAGGAGACAAGTGGGGCCATGGGGTATGGTTGAAACGTTAAAAAAGAGTGAAGAAAATTATAAAAAAGATTTTAAAAAAAAAAGGAAAGGAACTTTCTACGATGATTATTACTATTTAACTGCAGTAAAAAGTGAGTTAAATATTTAATTTTTAAATTTTTAACACTTTTTTATACTGGTTTTACAACCGACATATTAAATAATATTCTATATCGGTTGTAAAATATAATCGCTTACTAGTTTACTACTGTTGTAAAATTTATTTTTTAACAGTAGTTGAAAGTTTTTTTTTTAAAAAAAAAAACATTGTCAGGTCAATCTACAACTTCAATCGCTATTGGTTCTTTTAGGTAGGCCCAATAGTTACAGTACAAATAATTATTTCATCAGATAAAATTCCCCCTAGCTCCGCGCATACATCAATCATTTTCCATGGCAGTATTATGTGTTAGAGTACCATTTTGCCCTCACTTTCAAAACTTAATGACTATTTTGTCCTCCACTTAAGATGAGCCTTCTCAATGTCATCACAAATTTTTTTCATTCTGGTATGGGTAACATAATGGCATGCATATGGTTTGCGCTGGGTGTGCGTAAGTTAAGTAAATAATTAATTCGACTTTATAATTATAATTAACGACTAACATGAAATGTTAACATCAAATTACACATGAAAATTAGTTAGACTTGAATTCCAAGGACTTATTGACAAGTCTAAGGCTCAAAAAATATTGATAAAGGTTTCAAAAAAAAAAAATTCTGGCAAAGAGATTGTTTGATGAGATCATGTCTCAACTTCTCTACGAAGATCTCGAGCTTTATCTTAAAATCATCCATTCGTGGTAAAAAAAAAACTAGGATAATCAATGATGATTAAAAAAATTGATTTTTTTTTCTAACCAAAAAATCGATAAGTTGAAAGTCGTTTTGGCTTATAGAGGTTAAACCTTTCAAAGATACAATCAATATATGCAACTCGTTATTAAAAAAAATAATGGAAGAATATAAATAT